TTACAGAATAACTCACGTCACTAAAACTAAACATTTAAAAGTCAAATATCTAAACAAATTATGTACAAGAATAAAAAATCAACAAAAAATTACCTGCCTGCTTTACAATGTATTTTAACCTTTTTTTTTGAAAGCTAAGGCCGAAAGGCTTTTGATCTGATAGGGGAGGTCATTGTAAAGGGTTGGGCCAAAATAGGAGAACCCCCTCCTCCCTATTTCCAAATTAACTTTTGGAAAGTGGAGGAGGGTGTCCTGCCTAGTGCCCCGTCGAGCAATTGCTCCACGTGTCACAAGTCTCTCCACCAGGTATTTTGGTTCTCTGTGAGATAATACCCGATGGATGAGACAACAAGTTTGCACTCTGCATACAGCATCGGCTGGCAACAGACCAGCAGAATCCCGGAAAGAGGATATGTGTTCCCGCTTATGAAGTCCGTAGACAAAACGAACTGCGGTGTTTTGCAGCCTATTAAGTCGGTTCATATCCTCCCGGGAAATACTGTTTCCGTATGCAGGAATGCAGTAGTACATCACTGACAACACCAGAGACTGAACTAACTTCAGTTTTGCAGTCTCTGGAAGAATCGAACGGAATCTGTACAGTCCTCGCAGCCTTCCCAAAACAATTTGAGAAACGTAAGTGATGTGGTTGGAGAAGGTAAGACCACTGTCAAGAACCACGCCCAAAGTCCTGACAGTGTCACAAACCCTAAGCTTTTCATTGTCAAGTTGAATATGCACTTCACCGTCGCAGATTTCTTGGATTACGATGGGTGGTGATCCAATGTGGATCACTGTGCATTTTTCAACATTCAACTTAAGGCCGTGCTTCCTTGACCACTCACTTATTCTCTCAAGATCCATGTTTGCATTCTCAAAGGCGCTGTTGAATGAGCCGATTGGGTAGGAAAAATGCAACTGGCAGTCATCTGCATATGCATGCACATTACAGTGACGTACACACGTGGTAAGGTCGGCTGTGTAGAGTGTAAACAAGATGGGTCCCAGACAACTCCCCTGCGGGACTCCCCTAAGAAATGATTTTATAAATTAAACTTGAAATATTGAAGGGCTTTCACCGAACAAAGAAATTTTACTTTCGGACTTGTGTAAAAAACGAAATTGTGACATCCTGGTCATGCAAGAGACTCATAGAAGTATAACGGACCATAGGCCAAAAATTAATGGCATGAAACTTATTCTAGAGAGACCACATGGACAATACGGTAGTGCAATATTTGCAAAGCCAGATTTAACGATCCTTTCAGTGGCATTGATTTGTAATAGCGACATAGAAATTCTGACAGTGGAACTCCAGTCCTGTACAGTAACGTCCATCTACAAACCACCAAATGTGCCTTTCCGTTTTGCTGAACCTGCAAATTTTAGAGAAAAGAGGAATAAGTTTGTAATTGGAGATTTCAACTGCCACAGTACGACATGGGGCTACAGCCAAACTGATGAGAATGGAGAAGAACTTGAGTCCTGGCCTGAAAGAAACGATCTAAAGATCATACATGATCCAAAGTTACCAGCATCTTTTAACAGTGGAAGGTGGAGGAAGGGGTACAATCCAGACAACATCTTTGTGAGTGACCTTGTTGCACAGCAAACAGTAAAGCTAGTTGAAGACCCTTTCCCTCGGACACAGCACAGAGCAATTACCTTTCTTGTCACCGCTGTGGTGAGCCCCCAATCTGTTCCTTTCAAAAGACGTTTTAATTTCAAAAAAGCTAGATGGGACCTATTTACTGAAGAGCTAGACATAGGCGTTGCTAATCTGCGAAAGGGTTGAAAGGCATATGAAGATTTTGTAGCACTTGTCAAGAGTATATCCAGGAAACACATCCCGAGAGGGTGCCGTAGGGAATATATTTCTGGCCTGACAGGGGACTCTCGTCCCATCTTAGAGCGGTATAAAGAGCTTTATAATGAAGACCCTTTTTCTGACGATACATTTGAGGCGGGCAAGGAACTGCTTGCAACCCTGACCGAGTCAAGAAAGGAAAGATGGAGCAATTTGATAGGGGCACTAGACATGAAGCAAAACAGCAGGCGTGCCTGGAAACTGCTAAAAAATCTCAGTAATGACCCAACTGCACCGAAGAACCCGCTGACAAATGTTACGCCGGATCAGATTGCACATCAGCTGCTCATTAATGGGAAACACCATTCAAAAAGTAAGAACATGAAGATCGAAAGGGAAGTCGAAGATGAGCAGCATTCTTTGGAGACCCCTTTTACAGCTGATGAACTCTACACTGCAATTCAGCAATTGAAAAACAATAAGGCTGCTGGACCTGATGAGATAAGAACAGAGCAAATTAAGAACTTTGGTGCTGCGACAGTCACCTGGGTTTTGGACCTCATGAACGACTGCATTACATCCATGCAGATCCCAAAAACATGGAGGAAGGCAAAAGTAGTACCCGTTCTGAAGCCGGGCAAGGAGCCAACTGATGCAAGAAAATTCCGTCCTGTTTCCTTGTTGTGTCACCTATACAAAGCTTTGGAACGCATGGTGTTAAATCGAATTTCCACAACAGTAGGCAACCTTGGACTGAGCATGACAGTAGCTGCGTAAAATAGCATTTGTCATCATCTGGCCGCAGGGTTGTTAGTCTTGACCGAGTCATTGGCCTGTTTTCACTACTCTGGGTCTGGCATACGGGTATACGCCCTGAACTGAACCCAAAAAGTGGTTTTCAAAGTGATGTCTGTCTGTGTGTGTGTGTGTTAATGTCTACAGAACTACAGACCACACCTGTCGTCCGATTTTCAAAGAAATTTGGTAGGTAGGTACTAATCCATCTCCAGGGTTTTTTTTCATTTTTAAATTTTTTATTTTTAATGATGATTTTTCCATAGAAACCCATAATACCCCCGCCGCAGCAAACCTGCCGACTAAGCGAATTTCCATTTGTCTGAATTGATTTTCAGTTAAATATATTTTAACTAGCAGAGTACCCGTCCTTCGTACGGGGTTGGCATATAAGTATCAAATGCTTATAGCAGTTATGAGTGAGGACATGGTTTAAGAAATTTCGGTTCTTTTTGAAGTTCGTTCGCTACGCTCACTCACCTTTAGGTTGGAGCTCGTTCGCTGCGCTCACTTTCCTTCAGGTTAGCTCGTTCGCTACGCTCACTTGCCTTCAGGTTAGCTCGTTCGCTACGCTCACTCGCCTCCAGGTTGAAGTTCGTTCGCTACGCTCACTCACCTTTTGCTGTTGTCATAAATGTAAAAGAAATAATAGTGCTAGTGCTGCACCCTGTTGGTAATCCTTGTAACTTTTAATGCTATTGAACATCATAGAACATAACCAACTTGTTTAATTGAAACAGCTGTTAAGATTCATTAATTCCATTTCTCATAAGGTTAACATGGGAAACTCCAGAGCCACTGGGGCGGAGCCCCGAAGGATTTTTTGGGATAAAAATATGCCTATATGTTAATCGGGAATGTGAGCTATCATCATGCCAAATTTCAGCCCGATCCGACCAGTAGTTTTTGAGATTAGCTCATACAAACACACACACAGACACCACCTCTTCTTTATAATAGTATAGATAACATTAGGTTTAACGAGTACCTAGGTTTGCTGCTACAAGGAAACTAATAGTGTGTTTTTGAGTAAAATATTGATAGCTTAGTACAAAAAAAATTTGCCAAGTTTGATCAAAATATATCCATAAACAAGCAAACTACAACATTTGACAATATTCTCCATAAGAATAACATGGGAATTTTAAATTTACAATTTTTTTAATTTTCTCCGTTACTAATAATCGAACAAAAATACTTTTGTATATACTAAATTATTTGTTTTTTTAACCTCTTTAAAAAGGTCTAAAGAGAAATCGGGAAATTTCGTGTTTTGAGGGTCAAAAGTGAGAAAAACCAATTTTTACCCCATAAAACCCCCCGTAAAGCCCCGTTCCCATGGTCCGATCGTGCTGGTTCGCGAACTCATTCAAGCTTATCCTGCTTTACACCTTTAAACCAAATTTCATCAAAATCGGACAAAAAATACTCAAGTTATCGCGTTCACGGACGTATATATATATATATATATATATATAAGTCTATATATATATATATATATATATATATATATATATATATAAGTCTATATATAAATATATATACATATATAAAAATTTGAACGAATGGTGTTTTTGGCCTCTGGGGACATCAAAATGAAAAAGTAAATCGGTCCCGGGTCTAGGTCTTACCGTGCCACCTACGGTAATACAGTAGCTACTTCCCTATAGGGAAATTCGCTAAAATAACAAAAAAATCAGATTTTCTCAAAAATGGCCCAAACGATTTTGATAAAAATCATTCTCTTAGAAACATTTAGTCCAAATCAGCACACTCAAACAAAATACATACCGTAAAACGCACCTACAGCACTTTGGCAAATTGCTCTAGTTTGATGAGGTAAAAATGTTTACGCCATACTACATTATTTTGACAAGCTTCCCACGCAAGGATTTAGTCCAGAAAACAGCTGTTTGCCGCCAGCTTATTCAAATGGTGTTTCATTGCGTACTACTGTACTGTAATGAGTTTTACCGGACACCAATCAGCTGATTATACTGTATTTAGGTGGCATTGCATGGTTATAAACAAAAACATAACCTCTCTTAGAGGTAATGACTAGCGATTTTTGTTCTTTAGTTGATGGAAATATATAAGGATTTGTACAGATTTAGTAGTATGGCGTAAACTATCGTACGTAACTCGTCCAAAATGTGTGTACCGGACTCGTATGATAATCCCGTACTCGACTTCGTCTCGCACAGGAACGACCACACTCGTCCGGTAAACACTTATTTTCAGGACTAGTAACGTACTATACTATTCCTTAGAAGTTGGGCCACAATGTGTTGTTACTGAAAAATTACCAGATTATGAAATTCAATCAAGATATTATTAGAGACAGATGTGGAATAAAGAGGCGTTTTTTTAAGTAAAGGAATAAAGAGCACAAGTAAGATTAAAGCATGAACACAAAAGTTTTATTACACTTTTACATACTATATGAACAACCAAAAACACAGCAAAATAAATTTCAGTTGTGCTACAGTTACTTTTGAAACTCATACTATTTTATGCAGATCAACAATAACAATACAAAAAAAAATGCTGTGTGCAAATTAATAATTTTTTTACAGTCAGGTTCAATTAACATTGCAAATGGATAAATACTAATACTGTAACATTAAGGTTAAAGACAAAATGAACAAAAAATGTTTAATAATTTTGCTATCTCAATTGTTTGTTGTTACAAAATTTTAGAAATTAAAAGTGAATTAGAAAACAAAAACATAAAACGTAGTACCATCTTATTTACTGTTTTTCATATAATAATTATAATAATAGTATAAAATTTGTTCACAATTGATGAACTGGCTCAGCCAGAGTAGGCTATGTGTTTGTAGCTCACTCTATGAAGGCCAATCATGTCTATACCACAAGATGTTTAAACAACCCTAGGTAAGACCAGTTAGTGGCAGGATTATTCGTTATAAAGGGTTGCCCGTAAATTAAGGTGTCTATGAAGCTCCTAAGCGAGCTAATTCAAATCTGAGACCAAGGCTATGCAGTTTCGATACTTCATACACTACTACTATTCTAGCACTCCCACAACCCCATGTGATGATTAGTTTGTCATAGTAGCTTAAAACAATGTGAGGGTAAACCGATGCTCAAGCCACATGATAAATTGCATTCCACACTTAGATTTCTGTGGGGGGTCCACCCCTATTGGGACCCCACTTGTCAGTTGTAGATTAACTGATGTGTATGCTGAAAAGAGTTTAGGCATACAAAATGGGCATAAGTGGTTAAGGTTATTTCAGAAGGTCAAAAATTTCCTCAACAAGGCCGGCAGTGTGTTCATTAGTTTCCATCAAGATTGTGATTAAAGTTAAGAGAACTTTGCTTGCTGATCAACTTGTTTCAGACTTGTAGGGTTTGCTGTGTTCCTTGGTAGTCTTGGTAGTGTCGTCCCCTATCACTGTAGCAATCAGTCACACTGCGATCTATATGTAAAACTTCCCTGATTTTAGCCTCATACAAGAACGATGAACACTAAAAAGCAGCCTGTAGAGATTTACAATCACCTCCAAACTTTCCCTACACTTTAAATGTATTTTTAATTTCTAAAGATTTTACTTTATTCACATCAGTCAACTGACTATCGACTCTAATAGCTGTTGATGCCTTAGGCCACAGAGATACAATCACTGGACCCAAGCGAAAGGGAGCGTTGATTTTCCTTCACATATTCTTTTGCTAGTATGACAAGACTTATCATTGCATCATAGGACAGGGTGGGAATTGGCTAAAATCGTAATAGATGAAGTAAAGAAAATGGCGAGGGTCATAAGGGGAACTCAGCGGAGACATTTATTTATGGACAAGTTTAGTATTTTTTGTGTTGGCCATGTTAATTTATACTTCGTTCACAATATTTATGCAGTTTTAGGGGATGAAATCTATCACTTCCACTTGACCCTTACCTTTAAATTAATAGCTCAACAGCTGATTAAGAAACATACATTAAATTTTTTTTAAAGTGGTGGGGGAACTTCCCCTCAAACCGCCTAAATATTGTGAACGAAGTATACAATGCAATCTAATTGATTTCTTGTTTACCTATTTGGAAACCTTTGAGTAACAAACCATTTGACTACAGCACTTTCATATAATTTTTGTTAGTAGAAATTTTGCATTGCAGATGACCAAAATCTTAATTGAAAGCAAGGATATTTACAATTGAATACATATTTACAGAACACAGGCCTTTTAATGGCACAGTATAACAAACTAACCCTTGTGCAGGTGTTGTATATACATACCTCATTTTGTTATCTTCTTAATATTACATTTTTATACAACAATATTCACCAAAGTAATGAACAAATATTTGTATATCTATATAAAAAATGTTAGCCAAACCTACAAGCATTAATTTTTTTAAAGTTTTTTTATCCATTAGTTAGTTTTTTTGTAAAAACAACTTAAAAGGAATATTAAAAAATATCTCTTTCCAATAGGCTGGTCTAACATTTAAGATTGATCCAAAATATTAAGTTGCTTGGTTCAAAAGAAACTAGTTTTTAAAATGAGAAAACAAAATAAAATCAGCGTAAACTCAATAAATATTTCTTTTTTATAGATCATACCGAGTTCATTGTGATATCCCATGAATCTAATGCTGTTAATCGACAAGTTTAAAATGCCTAACTATTTACTCATAAAACTTTCTTAAACTCAAATATATGAAATTATGTAACAAATATCAACATCATAAAGTTAAAAAATTATTATATATCATTACATTGAACTGCTATAATACCACAAATATAAACTACATCTTAATGTGTGGTTAGACAGAGGCAGTATCTTTTAAGTCTTCACAAAATCTTGTCAAGTTTTTAAAAAGTAGGAAATATCCATTAAGAAGTGTTCAGGCAACAAGCTGTTTGATATAAGCCAGGGTTTTAGGTCCTTCTTCTAGTACTAGAGGTGAGGTCTCTCTAAGAGCAAGGCATTCGCGTAGCTCCTTCCACTTGGTAAGAAGGACCATGTACTCTGAAACTTTGTCTCGATGTCCCAGCTTATCATATACATGGATCAGCCCTCGATAGTCATACTCTAGGCCAGAGTATGTGGCACTGTACAGTTGCAGATCTGTAACACAAACACTTGGTGAGTAGGATCATGTACTCTGAGACTTTGTCTCGATGTCCCAGCTTATCATATACATGGATCAGCCCACGATAGTCATACGGTCATACTCTAGGCCAGAGTTTGTGGCACTGTACAGTTGCAGATCTGTAACACAAACACTTGGTGAGTAGGATAATGTACTCTGAGACTTTGTCTCGATGTCCCAGCTTATCATATACATGGATCAGCCCACGATAGTCATACGGTCATACTCTAGGCCAGAGTATGTGGCACTGTACAGTTGCAGATCTGTAACACAAACACTTGGTGAGTAGGATAATGTACTCTGAGACTTTGTCTCGATGTCCCAGCTTATCATATACATGGATCAGCCGATCGATAGTCATACAGTATGTTGCACTGTACAGTTGCAGATCTATAACACAAACACTTGGTGAGTAGGATCATGTACCCTGAGACTTTGTCTCGATGTCCCAGGTTATCATATATATGGATCAGCCCACGATAGTCATACTCTAGGCCAGAGTATGTGGCACTGTACAGTTGCAGATCTGTAACACAAACACTTGGTGAGTAGGATCATGTACTCTGAGACTTTGTCTCGATGTCCCAGCTTATCATATACATGGATCAGCCCACGATAGTCATACGGTCATACTCTAGGCCAGAGTATGTGGCACTGTACAGTTGCAGATCTGTAACACAAACACTTGGTGAGTAGGATAATGTACTCTGAGACTTTGTCTCGATGTCCCAGCTTATCATATACATGGATCAGCCCACGATAGTCATACGGTCATACTCTAGGCCAGAGTATGTGGCACTGTACAGTTGCAGATCTGTAACACAAACACTTGGTGAGTAGGATAATGTACTCTGAGACTTTGTCTCGATGTCCCAGCTTATCATATACATGGATCAGCCGATCGATAGTCATACAGTATGTTGCACTGTACAGTTGCAGATCTATAACACAAACACTTGGTGAGTAGGATCATGTACCCTGAGACTTTGTCTCGATGTCCCAGGTTATCATGGATCAGCCCACGATAGTCATACTCTAGGCCAGAGTATGTGGCACTGTACAGTTGCAGATCTGTAACACAAACACTTGGTGAGTAGGATCATGTACCCTGAGACTTTGTCTCGATGTCCCAGGTTATCATATACATGGATCAGCCCACGATAGTCATACGGTCATACTCTAGGCCAGAGTATGTGGCACTGTACAGTTGCAGATCTGTAACACAAAATAAAATAATTGGTTGAATCCAGTCTTATGGCTTAGCCACACCATCTTCTACTGTATTGAGGTGGCTGTGGCAATGGCGGACGATACTGAAGTGCTCGTTTGTCCCTGTTGTAAAAAACTTTCTGAAGATATGGATAAATCCCTCTTTTGTGAAGGAATGTGCGGTTCTTGGCACCACGCCAAATGCGTCAACATCTTTGCAAAGAAATATAACGAAATTCGCAAGATAGAAGAAGAAATCCGATGGTTTTGTAAGGTGTGTGACGACAGAGTGATGAGCCTGATTATCCTGGACAGAGGCCAGCCTGGAATCGTTAGTGAGATGAATGAGATAAAAAATCACGCAAGTCAATTTGCAAAACTTGGGGAGAAGTTAGAGAGGAAAATTAATATTCTAATTAACAATAGTATCAAAACCAAAGTTGGAGTTAGCAGGATTTTAGATTCTAAAACATTGGATAACCTTTCAATTTCTTTATTACAATCAGAACCTGATTTGACATGTCTGGAACCTAACCCGGGAAATTCAAACTCTTCTATCGAACTAACAAAAAACCCTGAGACCCCATTGGTTAAAAATCAAACAGACGAAACCTATGTGGCAGTGGATCAATCAGACCACAACGGAGTAGCTCAAGTCAATGGATTGAATAGGATCCAAGAAGATGAAATTGAAATGAACACAGAGCAGAGTGAAACGGAAAACCCACTGCAGAATAAATCTAACAGCTCAATGGAAGGGCAGGAAAATAGATTGAAACAGCGGAACGTGGACCAAAGTAAAAAAAACCGTAAAGTGGAAAAGAATTCATCTAATAAAAGTGGAAACTGAAACTGCTGAAACTGAAGCGGAAAATGATGAAGTCTCGTTACCGCATGTTGAGGTTGAAAATTGTTCGCTAACCTCAAATATTAAGCTCTCATACGCGGATTCTCTAAAAATTAAGAAAACTACTGTGAAAAACGTGGCAAAAGGTGTCAAGGTGGCCCCTATCAAGAGTAGTGAAGTGATCACTTGTGCTGAACAAACTAGCCGGAAACCAGTGGTAATCAGTCTCTATTCTTCGTGTCCCGAGTGTCTCCTTAAACTACTAAGGAAGGTTTGTCTAAATACCTGAAGGAAAAAGGTGTTGAGGAGAGTGAATGTGTTGATCTCAGCCCTAGATTCAGAACATATAAGTCCTTTAAGATTGCTGTTCCCGGGCAGTCATCTCACAGGATTCTAGATCCAGGTTTTTGGCCCACAGGAGTTTTAGCCCGAATTTTCCTCCAGAAAAAACGTGGACCTAGGTAGTCTCCTTTTTAGGGAGAACAGTGTACAGAACAGTGACAACATAGTGAACCCAAATCCAGTTCTTTGGTTAGGCTGTGATAGTGAATCAAGGCCTGGCCTAGGCTAGACGTTGCATGTAAAGAAACTGAAATCAACTTAACTACCCCTGACCATAGGGCTGAAACTGGGAAGGGACCAGACCGTGTAAATATTGCTAGATTAAACACTCAGTGTGTAAGGACTAAAATAAACTTGCTTGAACTTTTTGTCGAGGAAACCAAATGTGATTTCCTTTGTGTGACTGAACATTGGCTGGGGAGAGTGCTTACTACCAAACTTAAGCTAATTTAAATCTGGTTAGTATTTTCTATTGAAGTAACCACAAAAATGGTGGTGTAGCAATTTTCACTTCTGACCAGGCCGACTGCAGGAAACTGAACCTGGATAAGTTCTGTATAGAGTTGACCCTTGAACTGGCAGCAGTGGAGATTGTTAACATTTCTACTATCCTCGTAGCCGTCTATAGATCCCCGGACGGAGTTTTTGGGGACTTTATTAACCACCTTGAACAAAGTCTGATCTACCTCTCCAGATTTGAACCTAAAAAACTTATCATTTGTGGTGACTTTAACGTTCACTTGGAGTCCCCCTCTCATGAGGAAGCAACCTTTGTGAATCTACTGCGGAGTTACGGACTGTTCATAACAACCAGACTACCTACCAGAGGACCAGCCTGCCTTGACACGGCTGCTACAAACCTCGACTCCTGTGATTACGATGTCCAAGTGGTTCATTCAATGGTGGCCGACCATGACGGAGCGGTTATCCTAAGTGTTTCTTCTGATCTGGTAAGAAATCCACTGTCTTCCAGTAGTTTTAGTCATCAGATTCTAAAGAGAGTGGTTAATGAAAATGATTTCCCTCTGCCAATTTTCCTTACGAGCTGTAAATTGGGATTTACTCCTGCAACAACCTGACTCAGAAATTGCTTTTTCTACTTTCCATGACTTGTTTAACAACAAATTTGACTCCGTTTTTCCTGTTAAGATTATAAAACCCAAAAAAAGTAGTTGATGGTAGGCCTAAAAGTAAAGCTCCTTGTAGGGTAAGTAAGACTTGGTATACTCCAGAACTTACCAAAATGCGATCCTTTCTGCAAACTCTCCATGATCACTACAAGGCTGCTAACTCGCCAGAACTTATTGCTACTTTTAGGAACCTCTACACTAGGGTAAAGAAAAAGTACAGATTTGCGGTCACTCAGGCCAAGAGAGCCTGTAATGCTAGGACAATCATGCAGTCTCCAAATCCTTGTAAAGCTGCCTGGAATCTTGTAAATAAGCATCGTACTCAGAGGTCTATACTAAATACTGAAGCGTCACCTGATGATTTTAACAACTTCTTTTTAAGTAGTGTTCAGGTCATTGTCTCTAACCTGCCTGTTTTACAGACGGACCCTCTGGCATCGATTAATGACATTCAACCAGCACTCACACTAACAACTTGGAAATTGGTGAGTACTCATGATATCATATCAATAGTTAAGAACTTCAAAAATTCTAGAAGCCAAGACATTTACGGAGTGTCCTGCATGGCCCTAAAGGCTCTTATTGATTCTTTAATTGTACCCCTCACTTGGTTAGTGAATCTATGTCTTAGTAAAGGCTCATTCCCAGATTTATTGAAAATGGCTAGAACCGTACCCATCCATAAGAAGGGTGATGTTTCCACTATGTCTAATTTCAGGCCTATTTCCATTCTACCTGTATCTTCAAAGATACTCGAAACGATAATGAAGAACCAACTCATGTCGTTTTTTGAGGACAGTAGCCTGTTTATAGATGCCCAACATGGATTCAGAAAAGGCCGCTCTACCACCACCGCCCTGCTGAGCCTAGTCAACACCATCTCTGAAGCATTTGAGCAAAATGAGTCTGTGCAGCTTAGCCTCTGCGACCTAAGCAAGGCTTTTGATGTAGTACCTCACGATATCCTCCTGCTAAAACTGGGCAAGTATGGCGTTGGCGGTGTTGTTATCAAGAGCCTCTCAAACTATCTGAGGGACCGTAAGCAAGTTGTATCTCTGCGAGGAGCCCTTTCCAGCATAGGCCATCTCTCACACGGTGTGCCACAAGGATCTGTCCTCGGCCCTCTCCTTTTTACTATAATGATCAACGACCTTCATCTGAGTGGGAGAACATTATTATTTGCACACGATACAACGCTGCTGACCAGAGGTGTAAATATTCACCAACTGCCAACAGAGGCTGAAGACCTGCTCGAGAGAGCCAAGGATTGGTTTGTTGTAAACCGCTTGAAAATCAACGATGACAAAACCCAGTCCCTGGTTTGTACGCTGAAGCGGAGAGAAGGGGAAGATGGCACTGTAAAGCTTCTGGGATTCACATTAGATCCCAGACTAAGTTGGAGCGAACACATTGCGCGGACATGTGTCAAGTTATCTCGTGTGCTCCATCTCCTAAGAAAACTTACACCAGAAATTCCTAGATCATCTCTTTTATCTGTGTACTACGCCTTATTTCACAGTCATGTGACTTATGGACTTGTACTGTGGGGGCACTCCTCAGCAGCTGAGGATATACTACTCTAACAAAAAATGGCCTTGAGGATTGTCCCATCTGCTGGGTATTTGGACCATTGCCGGCCAATCTTCAAGGAACTAGGGGTGCTCACAGTATATAGTCAGTATGTTCTGGATATTCTGATCCTACTGAAGAATAACTTGAGGGATTACAGTAAGAGAGAGGAGGTGCACGATTACCATACTAGGAAGGCCCAAAACATCGACGTTCCCCGCTGCCGTCTCAGTCGTACCTTGAGTTGCTATCCCCGTTCAGCGATTAGAATATACAATACTCTGCCTACCCAGATGCGGGAGATGGATGTGCCCTCCTTCAAGAGGGCACTAAAAGGGATACTTGTTAATAGACCGCTCTACTCCCTTAAAGAACTTGAGGATGAGCCCCTCGCAAAATAGTGTATGTCCGCCTTGCCATCCAATAGACGGCCAAGTTTTTTTTATAGTAGCCTATTTTTATGGTTTTGTAAATCTATATAAATAAAATTAGAGTTTTGTCTGTACATTGCTTAGAATAATGAACTTTTTGGTTATTTTTACATTTCATAGGTCAGAGAAACCGAATCAAACCTTATCTCAATTTCTGTCTGTCTGTCTGTCTGTCTGTCTGTCTGTCTATCTGTCATTCTCTTGGTAACGCTAAAATACGCACTTTATTACAACTACTCCTCAATAACTATAGCACTGTCCCGCCTGAAACTTATTTTCCAAATACTATACATATATGAGATGGTTTTAGACGTATTTCATCGAATATGAGACAGTTAGATATTTAACAGTAAACCCTTGAAAATCAAGTTTTTGTCGATTTTTGACGTGGAATTTCTGGAAGCCCATGTTAACCTTATGAGAAATGAAATTATTGAATCTTAACAGCTGTTTCAATTAAACAAGTTGGTTCTGTTCTGTGATGTTCAATAGCATTAAAGTTACAAGGATTACCAACAGGGTGCAGCACTAGCACTATTATTTCTTTTACATTTATGACAACAGCTAATTTGCAACCTGGAGGCGAGTGAGCGTAGCGAACGAGCTAACCTGAAGGCAAGTGAGCGTAGCGAACGAGCTAACCTGAAGGAAAGTGAGCGCAGCGAACGAGCTCCAACATACAGGTGAGTGAGCGTAGCGAACGAACTTCAACCAGGACGTGATTGAGCCATGCAAACGAGATCAGATAGTAAAAATAAAAGTAAGCCTACCGTTATAGGATCGACCGGCAGACACAGAGGTAATTTAACCTTTTATTGATTGTCATACCGATCCGGAACAACAAAAAACAACATAAAATGAAGCTATGTATAATAGTTTGGCCAGCATATCTTAAAATATGCAAACCAACTGCTGTTCGTTATATAAGAAGGTTTCAACTGAATATTATAAGATCCCCGTGCGTAGAACGGGTACACAGCTAGTATTGTATATAGTTTTATTTTATTATATTATAAATTATGACACAATCTATCAGACTAGATCTGTCAAAGATGCAGGATTCAAGTATCAAGTATTAAGTATTTACTATTATCCAGATTATATTTGGACAGAAATAAAGCAAGCTGACAGATTCCCCGTAATAATAATTGAAAAATCAGAATTTTGAGGGGTAATAATAAGGTTGTTGACTTACTGATTTTGATGGAGCGGAAGTAGAGTTGCTCAGCCTTGCGGTACTCATGCATGTGGTAGTTGTACAGACTAGCAAGATGTCCCACGGACAAGCCTACCTCGTAGTCTTCTGGGCCCACAAGCTTCTCCTTTATTGCAATAGCTTTCAGATGCATTTGCTCTGCCTCCTAAAATGAATGTGACAGCAATCAAAATATTTCCTAACCAATCTGATTTAAAAGAATAATAGTGAAACACTAGGCTAGAACTGTGTTTACACATCCACACACTGTATGTGTAAGGATGGTGAACAAAAATATAAAAATATGGTGAAAAGGTTGTAGTAACGGTATATCAGCTAACTGTCAACTTGTTAATGCTAGTTATTCTAAAATATTAAATACTTTAAACATAGATGTGGTGAGTGCACCAATAGACTGTTCAAAACCAGCTGACGATGATTTGTTTTAAATAGTATAAATTTTGTTTTTGTTTATTCTAATAAGTTTCCATAGTTACCAAATTAGTTCATTCCTGGTTTTTGTACTTTTAACACTTTTGTTTTTTCATTCCAGTTAAATTATAATTTCTGTCAGTTTCATAAATTATTTAATCCAAAAAGTTACAAACATAGTTAAAGAAGAACCTACTACTTCTTCAGTGGTGACCCCGACGTGATAATTTCTTACCAAAATTTGGCAAAATTACAATCCAATGTCTACTATTCAAGAAGGTGACTCCCTAGAACAAATTACTGTGAAGATCCCACATTTTTGGACAGCAGATCCTGAGCTGTGGTTTGCGCAGGTCAAGACCCAATTCTCCTTGGCTCGGATCACATATGGTGAAACAAAATTCTTTTATGTTTGTGGAAACCTGGATGCTAAATACGCTGCTGAAGTGAGAGACCTCCTCACAAGACCACCAACCGAGGGAAAATACAAAAAACTAAAAGCAGAATTGATACGTCGCCTAAGCTCTTCACAGGAACAGAAGACCAGCCGTCTCCTAGAACATGAAGAGATGGGAGATCAAAAGCCCTCGCAGTTCCTCAGACATCTTCGCACTTTGGCTGGTACCGTATTGCCAGACACTGTGCTGAAACCTCTGTGGTTGAGTTGTCTGCCTTCATCCACTCAAGCCATTTTAGCAACACAAAAGTCATCTGAGCTTGATGCACTAGCCGAGTTGGCTGACGCTATGCTTGAAACTAGCCCACGTCATCGTTACAGAAGCAGCTGTCCCTACTTACAGTCCCAACTCCATGGAAGCAATGATAGAGCGACTGACGATCCTCATGACATATAAAATGGGTGAAATCGTAAGCACTCTTGAGCACGACATTTCAACCATCAAAGAAGATCTGTGGAGTAATCAAAATCCTCGTCCAACATGGAGTTCAAGACCGGGTCGGCGATCAAGATCACGCTCAAAGAGCATGACAAGAGACGATGTGTGCTGGTACCACAAGCGATTCGGTAAATGCAGCAACTAAGTGCACCAGGCCTTGCAGTTTCCAAGCTAACAGCTCAGGAAACGATCTCAGGAGTCTCTAATGGTGGCCAACGACTCTCCCAACTACAGACATCTCGCCGCCTCTTTGTCACATACAAGGTAACAAAACAACAGTTCCTCATTGACACTGGAGCAGATGTTTGTGTCTATCCTCGAAAAATGCTTTCAGGTAAAATACTCAAATCTGACTATACACTATATGCAGCAAACAAAACCGGAATCACCACTTACAGGTTGCGTACCTTATCTTTGGACCTAGGCCTACGCCGAGCGTTTGTGTGGAGGTTTATCATCTGGCTGATGTTGCCAAACCGATCATTGGAGTTGACTTTCTTCATCATTATGATCTATTAGTGGTGTAATATTACATGTCATTCATTCATCATTAACATTAATTTCTCTATTATTTTGTATATTTTCTCCCATAATGTCTGTTAATGCCCCTGATAGTGAATGTTCGGCGTCAGTGTTTGATTGATCAGAGGTAACCTCTCTCGTTTCCACGGGTCGCACAACATACAGTACTCCAATTTGGTAAGTGGTATTAAAGCAATAAATGCAAAACCAACCAAATGTCTACATGCAGCTCCTTCAATCATAAGCGTCCCTCATTCGACCGGCAGGTAAACCTTCTGTCCCTGTGAAACACCAAACAGAACACCATATCTAGACAACCCCAGGACCACCAGTCTTTAGCAAACCTCGTCGTCTAATAGCCAAAACACAACAACAAGTTAAAGCTAGCCAAAAGAGAATTTGAGGTTATGGTCCAGTTAGGTATAGCTAGACCTTCTTTTAGCAGCTGGTCAACCCCTCTTCATATGGTTCCCAAAAAAGGAGACGAATGGAGACTATGTGGAGACTACAGAGCCCTAAATGCCAGAACCATTCCTGATCGTTACCCTATTCCTCACATTCTGGACTTTTCTCTAAATTTGCATGGTAAAAGGGTTTTCTCTACTATAGATCTTGTTGGTGCTTACCAGCTAAACATCTAAGCTGGCACTTGTCCGATCGCTACTAGTACCTATTTCAAAAACATTATGTTCCGTCATGCGGGTTGCATCAACTGTCCTCGTGACCCATATGAAGGCGCTCAAGTACATAATGCAAGGGGAGTCAACCCTGTGAGGCAGCGGAAATGTTTGCAGTCCGATCTTTTCCCTACCTCCACCCTCCTCCCGCCTACACTACCAGCGCTAGGCCAAGTGCCAGCTTAGATGTCAAGAGCTGTACCACCAGATCCTGTAGCTCCTGATGACGTTCATAAGACTGCTATAACAACACCTTTTGGTCTTTTCGAATTTCCTTTCATGTCTTTTGGACTTTGAAGTGCTGTCCAAACCTTTCAGCGTTTCTTTGATGGTGAACCCAGTGGCCTAAACTTCTGTTAAGCTTACATTGATGACGTCTCAAAAAAATCTCGATCAAAATAAAATCTTGAGACTTGACTATCCCTACTCTTGACTGTTACCCTAAACGAAAGACTACAAAGGCATTAAGAAGATATGCTAAACTTTTATCGTAGATTCCTACCCGATTCAGTGTTCCAGCAGAGCTCTCCAAAGGACCTTCTGAAAGCCAAAACTAAAAGGTAATATGCCTATTAATTGGATCACAGAAAGTGAACAAGCTTTTGAAGCTTGTAAAAAGCCTCAGTGAAGCTGTTATGTTTTCTCACCGTGCACCGGATGCCTCACTTGCAATCTTCTGCGATTCATCAGACTATGCCGTAGTAAGTGTATTGCAACAAAAGGTAGGACACAACTGGCAACCATTATCTTTCTTTTCTAAAAAGTTAAGTCCAACTCAACAAAAATACAGTACGTATGACAGAGAGCTAACAGCAATTCATTAAGTACTTCAAAAATATGCTAGAAGGAAGACAATTCATCATTTTTACAGATCAAAAGCCTCTGACCTTTGCTTCCTGTTAAAAACCTGATAAGTGTTGTCCGAGACAGTTCCGTCACTTGGAATATATTGGACAGTTCTCAACTGACATTTGCTTGTTTCTGGACAAGAAAACGCAGTTGCAGATACCTTCTCTAGGATAGAAGAAGCCACTGTCTCCTTAAACTTCCAGGCTTTGGCATAGTCTCAAGCTCAGGATGAAGAACTACAACACTATCTAGAAAAGGAATCCAACCTAAAGCTCAAGCAAGTGCTGCTACTAGGAACGGAAGTCACGCTTTATTGTGATTTGTGCACTTCAAACCCCCGTCCTTTTGTCACAAAACAATTTAGAACAAATGCTTTTTACAGCTTGAACAACCTGTCTCATCCCGGGATAAAGGCATCCACAAAACTGGTTAGCCAACGTTTTGTTTGGCCTTCAATGAAATCAGATTGTCGTTCTCGCAGGAGCGAGCCCCTCTCCAGCCAGAAGTCAAAGATAACATGTCACAGTTCAACCACGGCCTCCTTTAACAACAGGTCGCGGCCAGCGAGAATTGGCAACGTCGCACTGAGCATTAACTCCCGGCTGTTTCACCATTACGGTAGTACGGAGCTAGTGGTCGCGGTTTAAATATACTGCATTTTTACACCCTTACAATTGACATAAAATTTAGAAATTTAGTACAGAGCTAGGGAATAAACTCTTCATGCCAATGATATGGTTTTGAAAATTAAAATTTCATTTGGTACCGGTAGTATATATAAATATTTTTAACACATTAGAAACAGTTTGAAAAAGTAAAGTGAAAAAGTTAGTCGCCTACTAAAATTATTGTTGTTTGTTGGTCAGAGAAGTTTCGTCTGTGAGAAAGTTGTAGATAACAGGGTGTCTAGTTTATTTCCATTATAAAATTCAAGACTAATTCCAGACTTTTCAAGACTAATTCCAGATTTTTCAAGACCAGTTTTTTCAACAATTAGTGGGTGTTGATACCAAAATGTATCGATTCTCGATTCTTGATACCGATACCAATTTTTATAGCTTAACCAAATTTTCTAAATAATACTACACCAACCCCTGTCTTTGTCATAAAGTAGTATTATGATAATGTGGTGTTTTCAAGTAAAGAAATGATGCAGCAATAAAAAATTCTAACTAGCAAATTTGGTTTTTTTTTATCATAAAATCTTCCGCGTACCGTACGTTTAGACATCATCATTGACTGCAGCGGTTACAGAAACGTGATCGTCGTCGTCCGCGATCACGGCAAAATCATGAACATTTCCCGCGGCTGTTTAGACATCACCGCCGTCTCCCGCGGACACGGAAACGTTATCGTCGACGTCCGCAATCACGGCAAAATCATTAGCATTACCCGCGGCCGTGTAGACATCATCGTCTTCTCCCGCGGTCACGGAAACGTCATCGTCATCTCCCGTGGTCGCGGTAACGTCATCGTCGTCGTCCGCGATCGCGACAAAATCATGAACATTTCCCTCGGCCGAGCAGATATCATCGTCGTCTCCCGCGGTCACGGAAACGTCATCGTCATCTCCCGCGGTCACGGATACGTCATCGTCATCTCCCGCGATCGCGACAAAATCATGAACATTTCCCGCGGCCGAGCAGATATCATCGTCGTCTCCCGCGGTCACGGAAACGTTATCGTCATCTCCCGCGGTAACGGAAACGTCAACGTCGTCGTCCGCGATCGCGGCAAAATCATGAACATTTCCCGCGGCCGAGCAGATATCATCGTCATCTCCCGCAGTA